TGGCTTGGAGCAAAGTTTTTTTTTCTGAGATCTCATGGATATTGACTTCTATCAGTGTAGGCAAAGGTGTAAAATGGTACACATTCACAATCAGGGCATTGTGAATGTGGCATGGCATGGCTTTTTGAATGATGTGCCTTTTATTTGCAAAAATAGTTCCATCACGAGCCAATTATAAGTTGTCCTTTACTAGCTGACACAAGGTGTAAACATGAATCTGATTGTGGATCATTTTCTACTATGCAGTTAGCCAAATTTTTTTTTGTCTGCTAGCCACTTTGTTCTACTTTTCATCATGAACATTTTTAACAATCTTGGTGATAATGTACTCTCTCTATTAATTGAAAAAAGCCTGCCAAAAGTCATCTTCATTGTAAATTCAAATTCTTACAATGGCACATTTCTTTTTGGTGCATGATATCCCTCCATAACAATTGTTTCAACAGTTTCTTTATACAAGTACTAAATATTGAGTGTTCCTCAATCTATGTACAGTATGGGTTTTAAAAAAAATTTTGCTTAAGTTATCTATATGTTATTGGGATTGCTTTGCTGCTATTGCCTCAAAGTGTTATTTCTTCGAAATAAATGTAAAAATAGCTTTCAAAATGTTTTATTTCCTTGATTTCATTGTCAGCTAAAATTCATTAGCTTTACAACTTTTGACCATACATAGCATTTTGAAATTTGCAGCTATTAGTACAATTGAATGATTTGCTGGATTACTTATGGCCACTCTGTGCAGTTAGTACATTATTGCCTTGAGCCATCTCAGGATATTTATTTCTTGAATAACCTTCTTTAACGTTCTTTTAGGCGGCAGATGTAGTATTGGAGATGTTCAAGACAATCCCAAATCTACATCATCATGCCATGGTTTCCTCGTTCTTCCCCAACATCATATACAGGGTATGTAATGGAATGCAGGAACACAGTCCTAATTTTGCCAACAATGCTCAATCTTCTAGAAGTATGCTGCCCTTTTTTTTTCCCCAAAACCTGCCCAATTCACCGAGTTGTAACCTATTCCGGTGAAGAAATCAAAAGTAGTGTATCTTTTTCTTTTTTTTCCTCCAGTTATTTACAATGTGTGATTGTCTCCATGGGAAGGTAATATTCTTAGCACAAACTTGTTTGCTCCATGGCTAAACAAATATGGACAGTTTTTTGGTGAGATATGAAAAATTAGTCTTTTCAGGATGACCATAAGAGCTTTCCATGCATCTTCATGGTGTAAAAGCTCAGTTCTGTAAACTTAATCCTACTTGAAAAAAACTGCTGCCATCAATGTATGCAGCCTTCATGATTTAAAGTCAGTCTTTTGGATATTCCCTTTCCAATGCGACATGTTGAATGACAAAGTTTTACCCTTGTGTTTCACTTGTGTCCTCTTGGTGCCTTTGGTGACAGTGAAAGTGACAGGATGCTGAAGTTCCATTTTGAAGTGTTTCCTATGGATTGGATTTTTTCATTTGGTGTTTTAATCTATTCATTACACATCCTTTCTTCAGCAAGTATGAATCAGCTCAAAAATAGGTTGCATTAATTAGGGGAGCAAATTTCATCTGCATTTTTTCTCTATCATTAAAGTGTGCTGATTTGGTATTGAAATGGTAGGTCCGGAAGGAGGATCCTCAGATTGCATGCTCAATGGCATACCGGCCATGGTTCTTCAGCCACAGTGTGTTCACGGGGCAGCGGGGACCTAGCAGCCCACGCTTCAGGCATTTCAAGCACATCCTTGCTGTGGGTCTGGATCTCATCATGCATTGGGCTTTCATGCACCTTCTGGCTGACTTCCTGGGTCTCTCTGCTGTTCTTCTCCACAAGGATTCCCTTCATAGGTTTGGTCCTGTTTTCTGTTTTCCAGAAGAAAAGGTAGCTGGAGATGTAAGATGCCTTGTTTGTGATGAGT